ACAAAAAATTATATAACGAATGTATAAACATATATATATATATATATATTATATACATATATATTACCATAGAATAATAATAGCAGAAGACATAACATTAAAGCACTGATTAATAAATTAACAAATATTTACATACTAATATTGTAACATCACGATTAATTAATAAATTCTTCATAATTCACATCTCATATTCTATATCTAAATTTATATAGAATATAAAACTATTTTAAATAACAAATATCACGAAATCTATATAAAAACTTAAGTGATACTATTCTCATTAAATTCTACTAAATTAAAAAATAAAACTCATGTGGTACTATCTTTATGTTTACATACAATAAAATCTAAATTCTATTCATGTAAAAAACTAAAAAATTTACCTTTTTAAAAAAAAGTAAAAAAGGCGCTAAGAGTATATGCTACACGTAAAAAACTATCATCTGTAAAATCACTAGAAAAAGATCAAATGTGCCGACGCATGTTGTCCCTACTGTATATCCTTACATCTTTAAAAACCTACGTGGTATTATCCTTATTATTTACTTAATTCTAATGACATGCATTATTTGTATAAAAAATTGTGGTACTATCTTTATCTTCATACACAATGAAACATAAGTATATGTCTTTGTATTCTTATTGAAAGATCTTCCTATTTTAATCCCCAAGTGATTTAATTCTTCTTTAAAAAAAATTATTATATCACAATTAATTCAAACACATTTATTCCACCAACCAAAGTTGTAATAATTTGTTATTTATTACGCTTTTGAGGCTTTCACGAGTATTTTCTTCAATTATACCAGAAGGTTTGCGGGTTATCGCCGTGTCTTTCTTCATTGTTGATGCCAACGTTTCATGAACCATGCCGGCATGGTCATCAATAATGAAGAAAGACACGGTGATAACCCGCAAACCTTCTGGTATAATATCTCAATTATTATTTAATAAAAAATAGAATTTTGTATTTCATAAAAATTTGATACAATATATATGTACTGTTTTTATAATAATTTAAAATTAATACAAATAAAGAGGATCATTTTATCATACAAGTATTGCACAATTATTATTTATAATATTAATCTAATCCAATTTTAATCCGATAAATTCAAAATAATTCATTTAGTTACTTGCAAATGTAGATTTAAAAACCTAATATATAATAAATTTAATATTAAAAATTTTATTCTATAAAATACAAATCCAATCAACACACAATATTTAAAAAATATTTTGTAAATATTTATTTAATGTAAAAATATTAAATAAATAATTAGAAAAAAATATTTTCTAAATATTGTGTAGTAATTGGGATGTATGTAATTGAAAACTGCAAAATGTGTATAAGACACATATTAAAAACAAATTAAAGACTTATTTTTTGGTTTTTTATTTAAAAAGAATTATTCTATTTATTATATATTTATTAATATTACTTATATATAATAATAATACAACATTTTAATATTTCAAAAATATGCTAAGAAATACTATATATATTATTGTAGATGCGTTTTATTTGACACTCACGACGCTCATGGAATCATTTCATTCCTTTTTGTTGCTTATCAAATGGTATCTGTTGTTTATCAAATATTAAAAAAACAAACAAAAATATGTTTACAAGCGTTGCAAACGCCAAGTGCAATGTATCCAAGAAATAATGAATAAAAGAAGTTGAATTTAGTATTGCGTATGCGTTTGATCTCTTATTTGCTCTAGATTGTCGTCAAACAGCGTTCAATGCGTGTTCAGCAGAAGCCTGTGCTTAGTACGTACTTTTACCCCGATTATACTTTTAGATCTAGAAGAATAGTTTTATTTTATTGTCAGTGAAGAAAAACTTTCAAAAAAGTTGCAAATTAAATATTTTAATAAATACGAACAACGATTGTTTTCAAGTGTACGACTTGTTTCTATTTATTATACGTTACATTTATATGAAATTAGTGTATTCTTTACTTTACTTTAATTGGCATATTTATAATTGTCTTAAGCCCGATCTACAATTGCGTAAACGTAGTTGTAGTTATAAGAATTGACTAATCACAGTTGAATACGAGGAGAATATTCGACTGTTATTGGTCAATTATTATAACTACAACCACTTACAACTACGTTTACGCAATTGTAGATCGGGCTGTAGACATTAGTCGAACATTACGAACAATACAATGACAGGACAAGAATTTCCAATAAAAGTGATAATAATTTAAACTTAGTTTAAATAGAACTTAGATAATACATGGTCATACGGGAAAGATGACCACAAGCTGTGATTTCTTTAATAGTTCGTAAATATAGTGCACATTTTAGTAGTCATTTTTAAAGATAATCAACATTTACTGTAGTTTATGCATATATATTATTCGGAATAATAATATTGTAAAGAGTAAGTGTATTTTTAACTGTCTATAAAGTTTTGCATGTGTTTTTTAAAAGTTATAGGATTAAATAAATTACAGATAAGCTGCCATAATCAACGTTGCATAATAAAGGTATGTAAATTGCAGGGTTGGCAAGTAACGCGTTATTTGTAACATCGTTACAACATAACGTTACCGTTACTTTTTTCGGTAACGAATAGGTAACGACGTTACATTTTCTTCGAAGTAACGTTCATGCTAACGCAGCTACATTTTTGTGGTAATGATAACAATTTCACTAGTTACTTTTATCGTTACTTTATTTCTAGCCACGTAAAAGTTTTAGTCATAACTAAAGCTATAGAAAACAGATGCGACGTTAAAGGAACACGTTTGATTGGCTCTCTTTCATGTAACCACAACGCCTTTTTTCACATTGTATCCACAGTTCACACGTATAGGCTGCGTTCTGTTTCATGCATTATGCGCATGATGTATTATTTTATCTTTCTTTAATATTCGGTGAACAATAAGGATAAAATGATGTATCATACGCACTATGCGTGAAACGGAACGTACCTATAGGCTAACGTTAATTTATTATTAACGGCTACGTAATTTATTATTTATTATGTTATTTTTAATACATTAAAAAGATGTATAATATAAAATATAAAAATAATAATATATAAAATGTCAATATTCAGAATAAATATAATATAATCGTTATTCAAATTCTCATTTGTATACAAAAAATTTTTTCATAAAGGACCCCACACAGACTTTATGGATAAATATTCCTCGATTGTATTGACTGAAATTAAAGTAGATGTGTTGTTCTTAACGTCTCCCCCCTCCCTGGCAAAAGTCTCAATGGACATAACTTTCTAACTTCAATACTTTTCTATGTAGAGATATTTAAAGTATGTGGAAACTATGGCCAGTATTCATAGTCGGTTCTTATTTCAAGACTGCCTTAAGTAATGTCTTAAGATGCTAAAGCAGCCCTCTGATTGGTTCGTAACTCTTCAAGACTGAACTTAAGATGGTCTTGAATATAAGAACTAACTATGAATACCGGCCTATGTTACTTCAAGAACCAAATATATGAATATATACATACTACACACACACACACACACCACGCATGCGCGCGCGTATTGTACCGTTGATATTGGCATTATCCAAGGTATCGAGTTTTTGTGTGTCATTGTAGCAGGGTTGGTAAGTAACGCATTATTTGTAACGTCGTTATCGTTACAAGTTACTTTTTTCGGTAACGAATGGGTAAAACGGCGTTATATTTTCTTCTGAGTAACGTTTTTGGTAACGCAGTTACATTTTTGAGGTAATGGTAACAATTTCATTAGGTACTTTTATCGTTACTTTATGTATGTAAGTCAGATTCTTGGCTTTATTGTAGCTTTCTGCTGCTTGCATGTGTTTGTAGTTTGTGATATGAGTACATATTTCGTATCATGTAATGACAGTTGATACGATTTTGCAAGACACAGTATTCTGCATTATTTAATTTGTGAGTAATGAGTTTGTAAATAATTTATTTGAGAATTTATATATATACAATACAAATATAAGAAGGGCGAAGAGCCAAGTAAATTTATCAACAAAATACTTCAATTATTTAAAAAATTTAAAACCGTTTTAATAAGATCTTTAAAAATTACAAATTAACAGACGTTTCGACTCCGATCGGGTCATTTTCAATGTTACAAATTTTATTAGAATTAAAATGAATAGTGAACGCATTCTTAACTAAGTGATATTACAACAGTAATCGTTTAGAGTTGCGTTGATAAGTCTGAAAAAATTTCGGCACGCGATTAAGGGGACTACATACGTGATAAATAAAATTCACACATTACATTAGCAACCAAAATCCTGCTTGACCGTCATTTGGCCGATTACATATCATATTTACTTGTTTTTACATACAAATGTTTCGACACTAATCGGGTCATCATCAATGTTAAATAAAAATTAAAAAAGGACCGGTAGATCTTGAGAGTATAAACGTACAAAACTTTGCGTAGTCTTCTATTAAGATGTTGTATCGCTACTACTATGAGATCCTTGTTGATATTGATGAACATTAGAGCCGAGAAGTTATTGAAATCTCACTTGAGTCAATCCTACAGAGCGCATTTGTTCATTTTTCAAATTAATAAAACCAAAAGTGATAGTTAATATAAAAGAAAAGGAGCATATAGCGATTCGAATCAAGAATCCATAATTAATTTTAACCAGAAATTTCAGTGTGAGTTTAATTCCAACCATCTTAGGAGACTGTGTAATTACTCAATAATTATATTAATCAATGCTTTTCAAGTGTATTTTTTCAAAGATACCAGAAGATCTGTAGGTTATCGCTATGCCTTTATTTATTGCTAATAATAACCCAACGTTTCGTGAACCTTACTGTTCTTTATCAGAAATCTTTATTTAAAAATATTGAGAATCAGTACCAGTGGCGTAGTAAGAAAAATGTTTCGGAAATGGCTGTAGAAATCAGTTTTCATAAATGTTCTTTTTTATACTAGTGACAAATTTAATAAGCATTAACAAAAAAAGTTTTGTTTAAAACGAAATAATATAATACATAATACATAATTTATATACATGTCGTTGCAATGTCGCGTTTCGGACGTTTCGCTGACGCTGCATATAAATTGTCATGATTTTTTCACTATTACATTTAAAGATCTAAAACTTT